CGTGTTTAAATAAAACTCTGAATTTAATAAATCGGAAGTAAAAACCTTGTAAGGGTATTTTTTGGGGCCCTTGATCCAAATTTCACGTCGAAAACGATCTTCGAACACCTAGTGCACCGAAACGTCGTCTCCGAGGGTTCTGTAGATACAATCGCTAAAGACAAACCGAAAATCGTCATGGGGGTTTCTAGGCACGCGGAATCCAAAATCCATCTCGAAAACGTACCTCTGGAAACCTGGGATACCGGAACACCGGCCTGAACGTCATCTGAGAGGGTTTTCCTCACATAATCGAGACTACTATGAGTGGATAAAAAGATGACGCATTAACCTCAACAAAACTAAAACAGTTCAGATTAACTTCACTAATAAAAGATCAGTAGAATTCCTACCAGTGACATTAAATAATACTAGAATACCATATTCTAATTCCGCGAAATACTTAGGAATCGACCTAGATATTAACTTAAAATGGAAAGAACACATAAAGATAAAACAGGAAGAGTTGGGTATTAAATATAGAAAATTATACTGGTTGATGAATAAAAAATCAAAATTTTCAATCGAAAATAAACTTTTAATATATAAACAAGTACTGAAATCAGTATGTACTTACGGCATACAGCTCTGGGAGTATGCCAGTAAAACTAACAAATATAATGCGTTTCCAGAACAAAATATTAAGGGCAGTAGTAAATGCCCCTTGGTATGTTAGAAACTCGGTATGTTAGAAACTCAGACATACACAGAGATCTGAGAATGCCTACAGTCGAAAAAGAGAGGAAAACCATCGCATGAAAAAAGACTACATAATTACGTCAACATTGAAGTTATACAGTTCCTGGACAACCGATACCTAATGAGAAGGCTCAGAAGGACCAAACCATTTGAATTAGTGATGTGAAAGTGTGTTAAAGCAGAACACAGTGCGTGTGTGCATTGTATAGTTATCAGAACAGAAAGGAGAAGATACCATTGGGTGAACTCTTAGTTTTAAGCCTCTTAAGTTTTCTTAAATTTATAATAAAGACAAGTTGCTGGTTGGCTGAAATATAGCTAGTTGCAATGCAAACTAACAAAAAAAAATAAATTCACTTTTGTGAATAAGTAACTTACCTCTTTTACATGAACCATTTGCATTATTCTTAATCCTCTATATGGAATATAGGGTCTTTCATAACGCACCATTTTTAATGTTTTTATACACAGTAAAGGAAACGACACAAACTACACAAAACACACTAACCTAAAAATTGGACCTAATATGATGTTACAGCCGACAACCAAGATACCAACTTCCTAGAATTATAACTTAAGTTAACTTATGTTGTTATGACCGCCACATTTCATGATTTTAAGGTACGGACAGAACAACATAAGTATATAAGATGTTCTGTCCGTAACAGAAAGTATACGTCCTATAAATATGTCAAATTGACCAGTTGTATATCATTGGATCAGCTGATTCAATCTTCTTCAGATTTGCTGAAAGTCTTGAGGACTTTATATTATTTTGGCATATTGTTTGGCAAAAGTACATACGCCGTCCACAGATTTATGTTGTCAGTTTTATATTTTTATTTTTAATTATTATAATTTTAAGTTGTCAATAAATATATAATTTTAAGTAAGTATAAAATGACATTGAGATAAATTTAAAACAATCGATTTTATTTTATATGTACCAAACAGTCTTTACACTCATTGTTTTGCATTTTTCACTTGTGTTTCAATATGGACATCTGCTATATCCTTCCCATGAGTTTTTAAATGTTTTGTTAAGTCGCTCTTTTGAATAAAACCTTTCCCGCAAACCCCACAATGATGGTTTCGTTCTCCCGTATGAATCATCATGTGCTTTTTCAAATCGCAACTTTGGATGAAACTCTTCGAACATATTGTGCAATGTTTTTCCTTTGTGCCAGTATGGATTTTCATGTGGGTGTTCAAGTTACTTTTATAAGTGAAATTCCTAGAGCAAACGTCACACTGAAACTCTTTCTCGTTGGAATGGATCTTCATGTGACTCACCAAGTTGTTTTTCTGGATGAAAGTTTTGGAACAAACTCTGCATTCGTGTTTGCTGACTGCCGCATGAATTTCCATGTGCTTTTTTAAGTAGTTCTTTTGATTGAAGGTTTTTAAACATATCGTACATTGATGGCTTTCTTTCGATGTAGCGTGGATTTGCATGTGTTTTTTTAGATAAATATTCAACATGAACGTTTTATCGCATTCCTGGCATTTATAGTCCTTTTCACCTGTGTGAATCTTCATGTGGAGTCTCAAAAGATCTTTGATACCGAAACCCTTCGAACAAATGTCACAGTGATAATTCTTCTCTCCAGTATGAACTTTCAGATGGGTGATTAACCTGCTTTTTTTGAAAAACCGTTTTTCGCAAAAAGTGCATTGTTGGTTCTTTTGTTTCGAATGGGTTTTCGCGTGATTTGTTAGATATGCTCTTTGGCGAAATTGTTTTGAACAGACATTGCAAGTATAACCATCTTCTGAAGCTTCCAATTCGGTAACTAAAAAATTCATACAAGAATCAGGCAGGTATACAATCCATGTGATATACAAGATGGTTTATAATGCACTGGTAGAATCACGTGTGTAATATGGAATTCTAGGATAGGGAGGAATTCTTCCAACTCATCTCAAGGAGGTGGAGAGTGATAGGAATGCTTCAGTTTGTAAAAATTTAAATTTTAATTCATATTTATGAGTACACCTTACGAGTCTTGTTAATCATCTGAAGTACTTCTGTATCTGTAATGTGTGGAGGGTGGGTTACCCCACGACACTTAGACCTCATTAGGCCCATTGTGCATCCTCCTGAGAAGAAAGGCACCTCCTAGCTCGTGAGCCAGCCTACAGATTTAATGTAGTTGACAACGTCGCCAAGAGGTGCTTCTTTTATATCGGCCGGTGTTAGCCGATACTCGCCGAACACAAATCTTCTAATAAATGAGAGCGTCGAGCAATCGTAAAGGATATGCTCGATGGTCTCATCTTCTTGTTCGCACCCTCTGCAGAGTGCGGATTCTGACAGCCCCATGATATGGAGATGCTTTAGTACTTGGCAATGACCATTCAGAATGCCTGTGACTAGGCGCAGATTCTGTCTAGTCATAGTCAAGTATTTGTTTGCTGCAGTGTTGTCAAGGTTAACTTAAGAGCTCCCTGGCAACTCTGCAGTTTCTTGTTTCATCCCATCTTTCCTTGAATTTCACAAGGGAATGTTCTTTGATTAGGTCTGTCACTACCGATTTTGTCAGGCCAACAGAAGGGCCAGGTCCAAAAAGTATTTGGTTGGCTGCTTTCTTGGCTAGTGAATCAGCAAGACGGTTACCTTTCGATGTGGCGTGACCTTTAATCCATCTTAAGGTGACCACGTTGTTGATGGATACTTCGGCCAAAGCTTCGTGACATACTTGTACTAACCCTGAATAAATTCGTGGTCTGTTCAGGGTTAGTAGTGCTTGTATGCTATCTGTATAGATAAGCATGTTCCTTTCAGTGATATTGTTTCTGGTTATTTCTTTTGCTGCTATGAGAATCCCCGTTAGCTCTGTTTAAACTACACACTGGCACTATTGCTCACAGCCCATTTTATGTTTAGGTTTAAGAATCTGGAGTATATTCCACATCCTGAGCCTTGTTTTGTTTTAGAACCGTCGGTGTAGATATGAATCGTACCTGCCACTTCTGGCTCTTCTATTTGTTCTATCATAACTTTATATGGCTTATGAAAGATACATTTTGGTGAGATGAGTCCATATTCGCTTGAAGCAGTGGGAGCGTATCCAGCGCCTCCTGCCAAAAGTGACGTCTCGCTTCACCAGATCCTACATCAGGTTCTATTCCGACCGTATCTGAAGTACTTAGAAGTACTTCAAACAAAATAAGGTGAATATGAAGTATTTAATACAACAAAAATCGAGACAAACATATATTTAACAAACATTTCACAAATGTATGAAACAAGATGATAATAATTTATTTAATTTATCATTAGTCTATTAAATTATAATTTTTTACAATACATTTATATAAATAAAATAAAGATGAGAGAAGTGTAGCGCTTATATGTTAGTCAAACTTGTCTTCGAAAAGACTTTTCTGGATTTTAATTAAAGAGAAAAACAATAATAATATAGAATACAGATACAGATGTAAAACATAATAAATACATGTATGTAACAAGTAAGAAGAATAATATCTTACTGTCTGCAAGTTATGCCTATGTAGCTAAAGTTACAATCTCTGCATTGCAAACTGCACACCCCACTCTTGTTTAAGTTGTTCGTTTTATCCTTGGTGTTGATCAAGGATAACAAGAGATATAGTAAAGTATAATATCCGTGACGTCGTCATCGATACAGCCCAGTTGTAGATCAGGAGTGAAGAGACATGTGATGTGAGGCATGTGTGAAAAAATGATTGATGAATTACAGATTACAACCCGAAAAAATATGATGTCTGTTTGGTAGATATAATTGACTGTTTTTTCACTTAAAATAATTTATGTACTATTGTTTAAAATAGTTATTGTTATATTATTGTTTATTAGGTTTGTTCCTTCCAGTTAGGGGAAATCGTAAGTTTTGTATTTGTCTGAATCATTATATTTTATATATATTTATCATACTATTTTAGGAATTTGAGTATAAATTCATATGGATTAATTATTTGGAATTTCTAACAATATGGGAAGGGATAAACTGAAGGATTTAACGGCCGTACAAAACAATTTTAACATTAAATATATGTCTAAATCGTTCGTTGTACATCCATAATAAACAACGTACAAAATACAAGCCATGTTGCTACATCTGGTACAAAATACTTGATATTCAACATAACATTTACTAGGTTTTCGAATTTATTGAAAATTATTTAATTTAGTGAAATACCATCTAATTTAGTTTTTGATATAACTAATGATTCAAATTTTTTTGGGTTGAGTTGCAATAAAATAGGTTAAATTATTTTAGCTTGAACGTCGTCTGGCTAGAAATAGCACTTGAAATTTCCGTTTAGGAATCTCGACAGTCAATGTCGTTGATAGTAAGGATACATGTCCGGTAAAAGTGGAGGAATGGGTTCGACTCCCGCCGATGACAAGTTGTGGAATTTTTTTTTTTGTAAATTTATAATTTCGTTCCTTTTTAATTGTAATTTTGTAAATTGTAATAGTAATTTTTATAAAATTAAACAAAAAAATAATCTTCAAGTCGTTTAGTCATATCTATATTTATACATATATATTTACACTTTATTACAATCATTGTAGATAAGGACTATAGATGGAGGAATGCCAGAAGCGTTTTGCATTTTTTTTTTTTTTTTTAATAAAATAAAAGTTTCCTTTGCTGCACACAGGCGTTAACCTCTATTGGTTCTTTTAAATAGAATGTACTTTAACAATAAAAATTATTTATTTTACTATGCATTTTTTATAACACCAATAAAAACTTTAAAAAAACAATTATAAGCACAATGTCACAAGAAAGTTATAATTGTTTTATTTTTTTACTTTTAAAATTAGAACTAGAAGATCAATTTATTTTATTTCATTTTTAAATCATAAAAAAATCGATGAACAATCATAAAACTAGAGAGAAACTTTGTCGGAGCCAATCATGTGCTACTAGATACAAATGGCGGCGCCCTGTAATTATAATTGCGATTAAAATTATTAAAGAGGGATCTGAAAGACGCGAGCAGAATTATGTGAAGAGAAATGTAAAGTTATTAATAAATATAATATACAGTGTGTTTATAAAATATATAAAAGATTCTAATAATCGTTTTTTTTTCAGTTAATGAGCTATATCCATTATAAGTTTTTAAATATATCAGTTTTATTAACTAAAAATTTTAATTTGGTTGAAAAGTGTTTTGTCGGGTATTTTTCGTAAATTGAATTAGTTAAATCTAGATAAGTACCACCAAATTAGAATGCATTTATGGTCGCACACCAAGATATTTCTATAGTTTTTTAATGTGACAGAAAATGCGTTGAAAACGTATATTACGTGACTCGAATTGTATGTATATTACGTTTACGTATACATTACGTGCTTCTTACGTAACTGTTTCCACTGGTAAGTACGTTTTATACCACTTACAACACTTGTTACGTAATACACGATTTACTATTATAGGTAGTTACTTATTGGGCCACACACTTCAAAATATTCCTTGACAATTTCAATACTATAAATTTCGATGGATTTTCGTTAAGTAACTTTAACAATATTATTTTTAGAGTCATTTTATGTTTTTAAAATTGCAAACCATCTTTAACAGTTTTCACAATGAAATAAAACATTTAACCTCACAAAATTGGTGAAAACTATCCTAAATTTAAGATGATAGATTTTCTATGATCAATATGTAGTTAACTGCTTTTAAAACAACAAAGATATAAATATTTAAAATGATATGTAACGAAAGGGACAGTCCTTGCGCACAGAGGCATGCGCGAAAGAACAAAAAGTTAAGAGTGTTATAATTCTTTTATTATGTGGTTATACTCAGTAATGCCGAATGGGGTTTATTATTCCCGTTCAAGATTGTTTTGTTTGTCCTAACGTCAAATGTTTTCCTCTCAGTTTACAGTTAATGCATTTCTTTTATTAAAACTATTATACTTTTTAAAGGCAATTATATAGTCCAAGCACTAACGGTTGTAAGGTGGTACGATCATACTTTCGGTTGGAATTTTGTGAAGTGGTAGGCGGGTCTATCAGGAAGTGTTATCTGCGAGAATTTAGATTAAAACTCCTGCAAACGAGACATCAGATAACTCAAAGTTGTAATTTTTTGTTCAAATTTACAATACATGCATTAAATTTGACTGCATGTTCAATGTTTAATAAACCGAGCTAACGATGCATATCAAATGAGTTATCTAATCAAATAAGTGTATTGCAAATTTTTTTAGGCGATATTTTTTACAACTTTGACTTGTCTGAAGTCTTGTTTTCAAGGTTTAAAACTAAATCCTTGCAGATGACATTTCCTGATGGTTCCGCCTACCACTTCACAAAATTCCAGTCAGAAGTACGATCGCACTACCTTGCGACCGCTAGCTCTCAGTATATTGTCTAAACCAGTAATTCTCAACCACATTTAAAATTATTATCATAAACTATCTTACGAAGTGTGTTATAGGTAAGTAAATAATTTTTATCATTTTTTTTGTGTGCCGCCAAATTTTGAAATTGTTAAAAGTGTGCCGCAACAAAAAAAAGGTTGAGAATCACTGGTCTAAACAGTTCAAGGTCACTCAAATCGAACCCCGTAAATACCATAACAATTTATAAAGCTGTTGCTTCTCTATGTTCTGTGGTATTTTAAGCAGGCGTCCCACGATCAAATAGTTTGTCAAACTTGACTAATCAAACTGAATTGGTGACGTCATATTGTGAATTTGATAAAATTTTCTTATTTTAGCGGCGCCTGTAAAACGATCAGTCAGTTTGATGAAATCTGATTTACTATTGGTCAATTTTGACACCAGAGAAATTACATGACAGATGACAGTTTTAACGTCAATAGGAAGTTATTGTTATTAGTTATGAAACGTTATTAAATCGGGCGATGTCTTTTACACGTGATAAAGTACCCAGCAAACATTTTCTATAACATTAGTTATAACTCGACTTTGTTAAAGACGAATTTACTTATTGAGGTAATTATTACGTAAAATTGACTAGAAAAATATATCTCTAATGTAAATTTACCAAACGGTTTTAATTTATATTTAAATTTACGTAAATTATACCAAGAAATCTACCTTTTACACAAATCTGCTTAAAAGTAACTTTAACCATATCAGTAAGGGAAAAACTACTAAAAAAATAACCAACAATTACTTCAAAGTTAAATTTCCTTTGTAGTAAAATTATGTGCCATATTTAGGTAATATCTACCTGTTTGGCAACTAAAAATCGACTTTATAGTAGAATATCCAACTAGGTAGATTTGGTTAAAAATTCTACGTAATTTTATGCCTCCATAGTAACCTATTTGGTCGCTTTTATTTACTCTCCTTTAAAGTAATATTAGGTCGAGATCGTAGCAAAATTCTACCTGTTTATTTACCTAATTTCAACCAAATAGTCGAATACTCATTTAGTTGACCTATAAGTCATCTTGAAGAAATATTTATTAACTTTGTTGTAGGAATTACCTGAAAAATCTACCACAAAGTAAATTCGACTAAAAACCACCAATTTAAAAAGAGTCATACATGACCTATTTGTAAAATTTATATTATTTAGGTTATTTTAACAATTAGGTTGTTCAGTTACTGTCTTCGTCATTATTCTTAAGAATTTCGGCCATTTTAAAAAACCATTGCAGTCGTAATCTTAATTTACGTGTGGTGTAGATAGAGCTTTAAATGAGTGCGAAAAATAATTAATAAAATGAGTTCGAAAAATAATAAATCATATCGTTATGCTTCCGATTTTTATCGTAAAGTGAAACGTCTTAAATCTCAAGTGCAGAACAACGTGACCTAAATATGTTATATTTACCTATAGGTAAATTTTTTATAAAACTTATAAGTTATTATTTCTTTAAATAGGTAAAGTTAACTAATATGTCGTGAAATTAAAGTTAACTCAACTTGGTAAAAAGGTATTTGTAAAATACGTAGATTTCCTTAGTCATAATAACTTTTAGGTCGAATTCGCAGAATACGCCATATTTTCTTAACGTAATTGAAGTACGATTCCAAATTTTAAATTTTTAAAACGACCATAACTAAAACATACGAATGAAAATACCGAAAAACGAAACATTATTGATTTTCTAAAGTGATACACAACAAACGTAACATAGTTTTAGCTCATAATATTATTATTATTATTTTACACGATCATATTTTTTTCTTATATTTTTTTAATTAGAGAGTTCTTTGGAAGGGCATTGTTATTTTTCTAAGTAGAACTGTTAACATGCACGACAAAATTTTCTTCGCATTAATTTCAACAAGCGTGAACTGTATATTCACCGCAATTACATTACATATATTTTTCATGTGAATTAGGTATATGTTTTAGTTGTGTTCTTACAATATTTCTACTTATATATAGATAAAAATACCAAATAAGTATAAAATTTCTTTTCGTACACTTGGAGGCATACGTCATCTGCAAATATTTTGGTAGTTTCTACCTAAACTTAGTTAAATCAACGTCGAATTAACGTTATACTGACGTCAAATTTCCCTAGAGAGGTATTACTAACCAAACGTACTGGGCTACTACAATGTGGATTTAGATGTAATTCTACCTATTTTGGTAAATAAAACCAAATTTCGACGTCGTCTTATTCTCCACTTATGTCGAATCCACGTCGAGCCTACGTAAATTTTACTTAATTATGGTTGAATCTAATTTTGCGACCAAAAATTACACCAAAATGTTTGCTGGGAGTAACGTTAATTTATTTGTATAGGAGCCACGAAATATTGTATGTGGTCAAAAATCCTTTGTACCATAATAAAAATGCCCGACAGCAAATCTTGGAAAAAATTACCCAAAAGATGTGCATCCTCCGACCGAACACAACAGGTAATTATGTATGTTTATAAAAATTATTATATTATAATACAATTTTAAATTTATTCCAGTAAATGAGATTAAAGCCAAACTAAATAGCCTGAGAACGCAATTCAACAAAGAATTAGCAAGACTTAGAAATGCACCCTCTGGATCAGGGGCAGAAGCAGTTCGGATCTCATTGTGGTGCTTCGAGAATCTTTTATTTTTACAAGACCAAACTGTTGCGACACCCAGTGTTTCTAATTTAAAAGTAAACAACGAATGTACTGGAAATGAGATTATACAGATCAACAATGATCAAGAAGTAAGTTAAAAATAATACCCTGTATGTTTTCTAAGTATTTTATTGTTTTAGTCAATGTCTGTTCTTGAAGAGGAAAGTGATCCTGAAAATTTTAATAGCAACATTAAGACTCCAACAAGCTCCAAAAAATCTACAAGTGAACATAATATTGATGCTAATTCTTCAAGTATATATGATTCTTGCCAAAAGAGAAAAAAAGCTGATGGACCAAGTGATTCGGTTTTCAGAGAAATTGGTAATGCTTTGACAAATTTGTCAAACAAAACAGAAACGCAAGACGATCATATTCGCTCCGTGCGAAGTCATGGAAAGGGAAGCAAAAGCGATACTAGCGCTAGCTGCGGATAATTAGTGCATTTTAGGGGGATATTTTGTAATTTTGGCATATCAAATACACGTATACATTTTACTTTTTTTCAAAAAAGTAGGTAAAAACAACACAATAAGCAACCGGAGTTGCTGTGTTGAAAATTGTACAAATACTAGCAAAAAAAAAAAACAGTGAAACTTATATAACAAATTTCAATAACAAAGTGGAAATTAAATCAAAGAAATAAATGGATAGGTGTACAATAAGAAGAAAAATTACCTTTATTTTTGTGATAATAACAGTAATGCTGGAAATAGTAGACATCAGAAACTAGAAAGTTTTTAAATAAACAATAAATTATAATTTTACGATGTTCTTTAATATCCCTTTATTCTTAAATGTTCATTCAGCAAGGACTAGATTTTAAGATTTCTGCCGTTGATTATAATATTTGGCTGGTATGCAATTTTGTGACTTACTGATAGGAAACCAGTTTTAATCATTCATTCTATGTTTTCTTTAGAACAAAAATGAAAATATAAGTAGCGATCCTTTTTATACATTTTAACTTCACGCTATTATAAATGGTTTCTTCAATGACAACTTATTAGACTTCTCATACATTTTCCAGTAAATACTGTTGCCTGCCTATATTTTATTATTGATTTTTAATGATTATACATAATTTTCTTCAATTTAAGCGTGAAAAATATATAATAATAATAAATTAATGTTTTAATTGTTTTATAAATCCATATACTTTTATTAAAACTAACATATATACTTTTTATTTACGAATTCTATTAAAAATTGTATTTGTCAGTATAGGCAGAAATAGTCCTTTAATACCAAAACAAATTGGCGCTGCTGTCGCGTACGGAGCGAATAGAAATATTTGGAAAATATATTGCCAGCGAGTTAAGAGCAATTAGTAATACAACACAACAAAAAAAATGCAAAAATGCCATAGTGAAAGTTTTGTTTCAGTTTAATGATGAGGATGACTGATATAATACAATATAATTGTGAATTTTAAATTTGAATTGTGCTTTTTAGATTAATAATAAAATGTTAAAATGCAAGAGTTTATATTTAAGTTTTCAGTTATAGTTTATTTTTCTAAAATAATTATCTTATTAAAGGCCCTTTCTTAAACGTGCTTCGATCCTTGTTAAGGCAGAACAAGAATCCGCTTTTTTCCTGTCTCTCTACATAAAATAACGAGGTTTAAAAAATAATAATATATTTTTAAAAATGTAATTTAGAAAAATATTTTAAAATACCATAAAACAAAGAGCACAGAGCATACAAAATAATCCATAATAATTATCCTTTAAAGTTATTAATAGCTGATTGTTGCCAAGAAACGGCCCCATTGGAATTAAAAAATTCTACAAATTCAGTACGAATATCTTGGGCATTTCTAGCACAACGATTGCCACCTTGTCGACCAATTCCTCTTAGAGGACATGTTAAATCTTCATTTTCTGTTTCACTGTTATAAGAAGTAGATGTTGTCAACAGATAATTATGTAAAATGCAACAGACTTTTGTTATAGTGACAACTTTTGAAACATCAACATTCATCGTGCCAAGTAGTATACGAAATCTGTTGGATACTATTCCAAAAGCATTTTCTACTGTTCTTCGGGCACGACTGAGTCTATAGTTATATATTCTTTTTTCATTTGACAATCCATGAAATTTAAAAGGTTTCATTATATTCTCCTTCAAAGAAAACGCATCATCAGCTAATATTACATAAGGAATTGGCTTGTTCCTTTCAGGTAAGCAGATAGGTGAAGGTAAGTTCAGGCTCTTATTTTCCAATGCTGTTGCTAAAGGACTTCTTTGAAAAACCCCGCCATCACTTATACGACCATTTATTCCAATGTCTACAATCAAAAAACGACAGTCTGCATCAACTACCGCAAATAAAACAATGCTGTCTGTCCCCTTGTAGTTTCTATAAAATGAACCATCTTGCCTTAACGGCCTAAATTTCACGTGCTTCCCATCCATTGCACCAATGCAATTAGGAAATTGCCATTGAGTATTGAATTTTTCACTAATAGCTAACCAATCTTCTTCCGTTTCAGGTGCCTACAATATTAATCCCATTTTTTATTTGGACCTTATTATTTCAAATGTATACAAACCTTCAAGTACTTGTTTTCCAAATTTTTAATTAAAGCAAGCATAACTTTATTCACAATACCACTTAAAGTATTAGGTGCTATGCGTGTAGCATAGCTTAAGCTTCTTAATGTCTCTCCTGTAGCCAAGTATCTTAGTGTGACCATTAATCTAAAAGCAATTAATAATACATAACATGTTTGCAAAATTTTAATTAATTCATTATTACCGGTCTTCTGCGCTTATGGATTGCCGCATAACTGTATCCTGTTTAATTATGTCCGACTTAATACAATTAAGTAACTCGTTAAAAGATTGAACAGACATCCTTAGATAATTTTTGTAACTCTGCGGATCTTCATCTCGGAGTTCATTTCGAACCATTGCCAAGACATTATTATTGCCCTCGTATCGACGAAGAAACCAAGATTTGCTCCAAATTCTCCTTTTTTTTTCTTCTGTATGCTTCCAGATTTGTATGCTAAAACCACTGCCAAGCTCGTGAGAGCAATAATGGTTTTTAACTTAAAATCCACCTTCATAATAAATGTGCTTTCGAATACAAAATTTTTAAATTCCATCTAAGGAGTTTGAAGCAAAAAGATTGATCGTGTGACTACCAAGTTTGAACCACCGTCAAACTGTCATAATTCTACGTCATCAGTTCAGTTTGATTAGTCAAGTTTGACAAACTATTTGATCGTGGGACGCCTGCTTTAAGGTGATAAAGGACGTATAAAATTAACGGGAAATTAAAAATAATGACTTACCTTAAATCAAATTCTCCTTATATATATAAAATTCTGAATTCTATAATCACTATTAACATACATTATCACTGAAAACTCTTAGATAAATAATTACGAATAAAAACATTTCATTTCAATGTTTTAAATGTCGAAATTTCTGAAATACTGGACACATTTGAAGTTTCTGGCCCAGTGTGTATTGATTAAGTTAAAAAAAATGCCGCTGCTTTATGATTTATATCAATACCTAACATCCAAACCAGATAATTCAAATTTTAGTATATAAATCAATGCATGTTAAAATAACACGTTTTCATAAAAAAAAACTCGTTATTACGTCATAATTCAAACAGTGATGACATCATAAACCGAACAGTTATGACGTACGTCAATAAAAAATATACCCATATCACAACTGGCGTATCTAAAAAACAAAATCGATTTGTCCCAGCATTTTTTGTTATTAGTTCAATAAAACTAGAAATTAGGTTTTATGACATGCCAGTAGTTTTAACAGTTCATGTGTGTAAATATTCTAACTGGATAATTTTTAGTTCAAAATATATAGAGATTTAACCCAAATCGCTTCTTTAATGAGTTGCCGAGTGTTTTATTTAAATATTTTAATACTGCCCTGCATTTCTTTATGATATTTGGCAAAAAGTTCAAGTAGTTTAAGATACATCAAATTATACATAAAATGAGTTTCTCGATATCATCAGAGGCGTACGGCAGGTGCACGGGAAGAGTTGTAGTTTCCTATATTCTACGTGCTATTGGCGGAATTGTTATTTTATAATTTTTCGTTTCTCCAATACTTTCTATGTAAATAACATTTTTTCTTCGTAGTAATTATTTTTTAAGATATTTAAAGTTAAACACACAAGGCTGCACAATTATTTTGATTTTAATATTGTTTAGTGTCTAAATTAGTAATATTTCGGTGTTTATTGTCATTTTGAAGTACTAAAATAATAATAAATATTTAATTAAAACACCGTGTAACTCAGTTTGGTTTATATCTTCATGTTTTGACTATAAACTTTTCCACTTTTCCAATTAGAATATTTACTGGTATTAATTAATGTATACAGCTTCGTCAACATTTTAGACAAACGCAACTTTTAAATAAAGTGAAACCTCTTTCCTAACTGTCAAACGCCATTTCTCTTCCCTTCATCTCTCTAACCAATACAATTTAAATAGGAATAGTAAGTATAAAACATAATTGAAAAGGTAATTTTATGAAGAATTCAGCAATTTCATTATTCATTGCCTTACTTTTGATTTTAGCGCCCTCTAGCGGGGTATAAAACTATTGTATATTGTAAAGTGTGATACTTTATTTGAAAGCTAATTTTATTAAAAATTTAATGAACAACAACAAAACATAATAAAATGAAACATAAACTTAAATATTTGAAAAATCTTGCAGTATAAGAAATATAAACTGCAATGACAATAAACCAAAATAACAAATTTATTATAATATGAATAAATTTAGCTGTCAAATAAAGTTTCACTCTGTACAATATGTAATAGTAGGTAGTAAAACACTTGACGCTACTTTCGTCGACTTTTTCCCAGTTCTGGGGAAATTTAAAATTTGACAACACTGCACCGAATGATTCAATGGTAAGTACGCCTAATAGACCAGGGTCGATAATTTTGAAAATGGTAAAAAGTGAAAAAAAATTATAGTAGGATGAAACCCGTTAAAAAAGGACGAGAATATAACAAAAATGAAAGGGAAAATAATTTACGAGCGATATGAGGTCGGGAAGTGGAAGGGGGTGAGTTTTTGAGGGTAAAAAACGGTGTATCTCGATTTCCGGCAAAACTACAAGTCCTATGGAAAAAATTAAATGACAAAGTTTTTTTTTGCATAAGATAAAAATAAAAAACCAAAAACTTGATTATTTAAATTTTTCATATAAATTTTGAGGTTATGTGAAAAAAGTGTAATTACAAAAGTTGTAGATCTCTTTATTACCTACAACTTTGTCATTTAATTTTTTTCCATAGGACTTGTAGTTTTGCCGGAAATCGAGATACACCATTTTTTACCCTTAAAAACTCACCCCCTTCCACTTCCCGACCTCAGATCGCTCGTAAATTATTTTTCCTTTTATTTTTGTTATATTCTCGTCCTTTTTTAACGGGTTTCATCCTATTATTATTTTTTTTTTGTTTCAAAAATTATCGACCCTGGTCTATAATAAATAACTAGAAACTTTACAAAAAAAAGCAACACTGTTTCTCCAGTTTCTCAACTTTCTGGTTAATTATCAGCAGTATTTAGCATTGAATCTTGCAGTGCGGTGTTGTCAGATTTACTCTACACATTCCTAATAATTAAATTAACAACAAAACATAATTGAATGAATTTAAATTTTTTAAAAATCTTGCAGATTAAGAAATACACTTTACAATTTGTAACAATAGGTAGTAAAACACCTGAAGCTGATTTCGTCGATTTTTCCCCAGATTTGGGGAAATTTGCAGAGTAAATCTTATAACATCGCACTGAATGAGTCAATGGTAAGTACCTACGTCTGGTAATTAACTAATTTACAAAAAAAAGCAGCACCGCTTCTCCAGTTTGTTAAGTTTCTGCTTAATTATCGGCCAGATTACTATACACATTTCTCCAGATCTGGGGAAAAATCGACGAAAGTGGAAATGTCTTACTATCTACTTGTAGGGCACTAAAATCGAAATCAACGCAGAAGGAGAGGAGAATAACGTATGACAGTTGAGGAAATGATAGAAAGAATGTCTCCCTTTAATAAAAAATTACCAGGCCCATTTGTCCAAAATTATGAACAGTTTCTAATACATTTTCATCTGCCGCCCTGTATTTTTTAAATATTTATAAAAAATACACTGCTTTCTCTAGTAAGCATTCACTTTTCTACGATCTTTTTTGTAGAATAAAATTTCATTTTAAAATATCCTTATATATACGCTAATTATGAGAAATATCAGAAAATATTAACAAAAAAGTTTTTGTGTATTTATATTATTGTAGGTATATTATTCTGTTACTGATTTAAATGTTTGACGTACAGACATTTTGTATATTATTGTGTACCTAATTGTGAATTTTTTGTACCATTAATATAAATTTATTTTACTTGTTTTTATGATAACTTAAAATGGCCAGAAAAATCTGAGAAGATTACATACTAATATAAAATAAACATCAATATAATGTATATTACGCAAAATTTACAATAGGAATAATTGTTTATGTTAAGTAATGTATTCTGAATAAATTTATTGCAAAACCCAATTTTTCTATATTTAAGAATATATTAAAATTCATTTTCGCAAATTATAAAACAACATTTTTGTCTTTACTCTTTATAAATATTGGCTAATTTTCATAATGGATCCTGGAAAGTAGCAATCTTAAATGAACTAATTATCTCAGAAATATTTTTATTGGAGATATAAAAATGGAGAAAATTTTATATATTAAAAATGTTTTGGTTTTCAGTCAAAGGAAAAAAAAACAACAAAAATAAAACACTTAATAAAAATATTAACACTCTGGGCACTGTGAATAAGCAGGTCAGTAATTGTAAAATTCTCTCCAAATGAGATACTTCTCAATAATTGTAATCTTTAGTTTTTTCTCAGCAGTGAACAAAATAAGTCTTAACTAACTGTTATCTACCAAACAAACAATCAACTGTTGGGAAACTGACAGTAAAATGTTGAGGTCATCAATCATTAATTGAGTTTGGCCATACGTTGAGAGTCAGTCACTTGCACATCTCATATAATTTTAAATATCTACAAAATGCAAATGGGTGCGAACAAAGAGGTGGGAATTAAACAATGAAAGCGTAGTTTTTAACCATTTATAACTTGTCCAATGACATAAAAAACAAATGGTTCATGACAAAAAGCAACGAAATAATATCAATGATAAATGCAACTTACTGTAAAGAAAAAATCTGCATATACAGTTCTCCTATTAAGACAAAAAAGGACTTTTTGAAAAACCTATTAAGTCATCGCATTTAAACATTTATAAATCAGATGAGGGACAAGTAACCTCAAAATTGTCCTCATTAATTGAAATTAAATGTAAATTGCTAAATTGATATCTCTTAAATATAAGCATGAATTTGTATTTATACCCTTGATTCATACTTTGGACTTAGTGATTTAAATAATTGTTAATTCACTATTCTTAGTCCAATTAAATAACGAAAAAAAGCCGCTTCGAGCTTACATTAATTTGTAATTGGATGAAACAAAAAGGACCTTGTGTATTTTGATGTGATCTTTCCGAAAAAAAGAAAAAAAAAGATGTAGCAGTTTTTCAATTTTTTTTTAAATTAGGAAAAACCGGGTTTTCCAGAATTTTCCATTGTAAAAATGCTAATTATCTGGGCAAGTATCATTCCGATAGTGAAAATAAATGTATCATTCCAAAGAGAAGGCAAAAATAGTTCGGAAATTCATTGCACAGGTAGTTTTAATGGCGAATTTCTCGCCGCCAGAAGTGCTTTTATCAAAAAGTCGTTTTTTCGTTTTTTTGATCAGAACCATGGACATGAAATTTCCGATGAATTTGTGGCGAAATTATAAATGTTAGACATATGTGCCCATGACAGAAGTTGCGTATTTTTTTGTTGGCTCTCAAATAAAATAAGTCCCGCGGCGAAATCTGACATAATTTTTTAGGAATTCGCAGGAAACCAGAGGCGTAGTTTTTTTTTTAATTTTTTTCCAATATGATTTTTTCCGGGTTTTCCGAAAACATCTAACAAAAAAAATATATTTGAAAAAACTAACTTCGCCATCGAAAAGGGCACAAAAAAAATACACAAATAGGTATACTTTAAAAATGTTAGGAAATTAATCCTAAGCCTGAGTGTAAGTTCCAACTTGGTGATAAGCTTGCTTTTTGTTCGCTAATATCTGGTAATTCTATATTTTGCACAAAACTCAAGAAACGTCTTATAACAAGTCAGTAAAATACAATTTAATAAATTTTAAGCCTAATAAGTTTAGATATGTAAGAAATTTAAAACTGGAAAACGCAAAAAAATCAAATTACAGTAATGTAGTGTATACACGAGTTTTGGATCCCGCGGAACGCGTGTAATGGGACTTTTGTCGGGAGAATTCTACAACTTAGAAGAAACACACACTTTAAACTTTGTATACACATTTAGAAGACATGAAATTTGGGTTTGTTTAATTTTCAGACAAAAAAACTAAAAATTGTCAATTTTAGGCAACTTTTCTCAAAAACCGTGTTTTTTGGTCAATGAACAGTGGTCAAAAAATTAGATAAAATATATTTGCAGAATTTTCTGTAATGTAATCGTATTCTAGACACAATAGAGTACTCAAAAAAAAAGTTTTGAGCCATTGGGTGCATTTTGTGTTTGAACATTTAACAAATTCAATTTTTCGACCTTCGTCGCCTCAAAATACTAAACAAATTTCAATCGTCCATACTGCGAGAACGGTGCATCGTATCAAAATTTCTCAAGATACATAAAAATTAGCATTTTAACTAAGCTTTCAAATGTCGTAAACTGCGTTTTAAAAATATTGATTTATTTCCGCCATGCGCCTGCGCAAAATTGAAAAATTGACAAAATCCAAAATTTCGGCACTTTCGAAAAACTGCTACATTTTGTTTTGCCTTTTTTCGAAAAGATCACCTCAAAATACATAGAATCCATTTTGTTTCATCTAATTACAATTTAATGTAAGCTCAAAACCCGTAATTTAATTCGATTATTCTAAGAAATTATACACTTAATAATGTATCAACAAAAAGCTGTATTAATAAAATTAAACTTTATTTCTGTACTAAATTAAATTGGTATTAATAAATTCAGGGTTAACCACAACAAACATAAAAAATAAAATTATTTATCCTCCTCCCCATCAGTTACATCTAATTCCTCTGGAGAATTGCTTGCCTTTGTATCCACTTGATCATGAACATCTTCTTTATTTTTATTAGCATGATCATGAGGTACCGAGCTCTTAACATTGCTGTCAGTCTGTGAACTAAAAAAAAAGAAAATTAAGAACTGATTTTTTGTTAATAATAATTGTGCCTTACCGCTTACGTAAACTCCTTTTTGTGGCGTATTTCAAAACACCTTCTTTAAAAATATTACAATTTTTCTGTTTAGTATGCCGAATATCAGCAAGTGAAATTACTTGAAAAAATACATCTAAAATTGCTTCTAAAATTTGAAAGGGTTTTCTTGAATTTCGGTTCTTTCCCCTTGCAACCCCGGTCCATGTATAATTTATTAAAACAGACGGGTTAAATAGATAATCAATGACCTTGTAGGCTACTTTTGTCCCATCTTCTTCCCTAGTAGTTCCTCCAATTTTGGATAAAAATGTAATCTGAAACAATATAGAAAATAGTTTAGCATGATGTCGTTATCTAACTTCCCTTTTGAATACAGCAAACATGGCAGACAAGAAATTTAAAAAAAACTGCAAGTCTTTTCCATTAACATATCGCCCCCTTAGTGCAACAACTAGATAACTCGAAATTTAGGCATTTTTAGTTATCCAGTTAAATCTGTCCTATTTTTCATGCTGTTTTCAATGCAACAACTGATATCATGTACGAGCAACCAAACTTATTTAAAGAGTGACTAGAAACAGATAATTCCCAATATATACATTTTATAACTAGACATCTTGAGATATCTAGTTGTAGCACTGGCATTATTGAGTTATCCGCCGGCACCTTTTTGGTCGCTATGAAATATCTAGTTGTATGCTTGAAACAACAGGTTTGTTTCTGTGCTGCTAAATTGTTTTACGGTGTTTTTTAACAGTGTTAATGCAAAAATGACGTCAAGGGGAAAGAATATTTTAGAAATTTTACGTAGCCAATTATAAAATGATACAGGTATGTCAAAATCTATTTAAATACATCCAAAGGAAGTATTTAGCGTCCGATCTTAATATTACTATTATGTACACAATGTATAAAGAGGATTGTACAGACGAAAAATTACCTTTCGTAAGTTCGTTAATGTACAGAAAGATATTTTATAAAAAATATAACTTGGGTTTTTACCGTCCGAGAAAGGACCAGTGCCGTACATGTCTGAGTTGCAATATACCCAGAAGCATTAAAACAGAAATTATAGAAGCTAATTATCAAGTACACCTTGCTGCCAAAAATAGGGCCCAGAAGGAAAAAAGGTCGACAAGAAATTAGCAGAAACCTCTATTAAAAATATTTTATGTTGCAATTTTGATCTCCAACAAGTTCTCATGGTTCCTAATGACCCATCGAACAATGCCTTACTTTATAAACTGTAACGGTTGTAACCGTTTTCGTTATTTAGTCCCAGACATTGTAACGGTTGTAACCGTTTTCGTTATTTTGAAACCACCATCTCTACACAAACGTCATTTGTCGTTTATGCCTTGTGTCAAAACTCGGGTTGTCATTTCGATTTACCTCTGTCGTCGAGCAAGTTGATTATTGAATTTTAATTATCTTTTATCGTGTACATCCGATGTACTAATTACAGTGAAACCTGAGTAAGCCGGAACCTGTGTAACACGGAATCCTGTGTATGACGGAAATTTTGGCGATTACCTACATATTGTAATGTAAAAATTGCTTATAAGCCGGAACCCTGTCTAACGCGAACACGGAATTTCCCTAATCTGTTAAGCCGGAACCTACTTATGTTATTGCTTTGCAGGTATAAAAGAATTTATAGATGTTTACATAATTAGTTTATGATTTCGGAAAGCCCCATAATAAGGGCGAACTATTATCAATACTTAGAACCATTATCACAGAAATTTAGGTACAAAAGCAGTAAATACACAAATAAACCAGTATTGTGTAGGTACGGCAGTTTGAGTTTATCCGTGAAAGTGCAAACATTTCAAAATGGCAAACCGAAAAACGAATACATTATCGCTAAAATCTAAAATGGACTTAATTAAATGTAGTGACCAAAAAAAACTTACTCCAAAGCAATTGGCTATTCAATTTAAGTGCGGAAAAACGCAAGTGTATGAAATTTTGAAAAACAAGGAAAAAATTAAAGAAGAGTGGATGCGTGGTGGTAATGGCGATATTAAGAGAAAGCCAAAGGAATCACATCACGACGACGTAAATTCAACAGTTTTGGAATGGTTTATGGATGCAAGGTCTCGCAATCTTCCTGTATCTGGAACAATTATTCAAGAAAAAGCAAGAGAAATTGCAAACCATTTTGGAAAAGTAGATTTTAAAGCTTCGAATGGATGGCTGGAAAGTTTTCGAACACGACATAACATAAGATTTAATCAGATCTGCGGTGAAGCTAAGGACTTCGACATGGAATCTGTGACTGAATGAACATCGCACATTACAGATTTAATTAAAGGATATACCCTAAAAGACATTGCTAATTGTGACGAAACTGGCCTTTTTTATAGAGCGCTGCCGGACAAGACAATGTGCTTTAAAGGTGAAACATGTCAAGGAGGCAAACAATCTAAAGAAAGGTTAACCGTTTTGTTTTGCGCCTTTGCTGACGGAAAAATAGAAAAACCTCTAGTTATTGGAAAATCCCTCAGACCGCGATGTTTTAACAATACCAATGTGCCTCAGCTACCAGTTTATTGGCGAGCAAATAAAAAAGCATGGATGACATCAGTTCTTATGGAACAGTGGCTAAAAATTTTAAATCAAAAAATGAAATTTGAAAATCGACACATCCTTCTATTTTTGGATAATGCAACGTGTCACCCCAAAATAATACTATCCAATATAAAATGCATTACAGAAAACAAGTGCTGCGGTCAATTATTGCGAATATGAGATTCTCTCAATCAGCAGGAGATTTGGCTAAAAAAATATCAGTTTTGGATGCTATCAGATGGATTGATTATTCAGTAAAAAATATTAAACCTGATTGTGTTAAAAAATGTTTTGCGGCATGTGGAATCAAGCAAGATGGAGACGTTGACCTAATCGAAAATGTTGACGAAATTGACGAAAGTACAAAAGAAGTCGAAGAGTTAATTACTGAAATTAATCCCGGTTGTAATGTTCATGATTACATCACATTAGATGAAGCCGTTACAACAAATGCTGGATTTCAGTCCATAGAAGAACTGGTGTTAGAAAAAACTGCCGTGGAAACTACTGTGGCAGACGATAATGATGGGATTGGAATTGGTAAGCGATTTTTCTAATTCTCTAAAAAAATAAACAACTTTTTATTCATTCTTTCCATCTTAATTGGGCATTTGGCCAAGTAGAAATAAAGTTAAAATACATAATAAAAATAAGATAGGAATATTTCAGTTACCATCACAAAAATAACAGATAGAAAAAATTATTTTCCCATTAGCTTTTCAAAACGATCTGTTCTTAAATTATTATTTTTATCTACAGGAACAGAAGTTGAAGAATCCGATCGGATAAAAAAATTTCTGAAGCTTTGAGGAGTGTTGCAGCGTTAGAGGATTTTTCCCAAAGAATAGAGAGCGAACCGATGAGAAAGAAGATTTTAGAATTAAGGACATTCATGGAATCATCTTACGTATTACAAAAGAATAAAAAACAACTTACATTGATAGAAATGTGGAATAAATAATAATTTATATTGTTTCTAATAATAAATAAAAATATGTAGGTACATAGTAATAATAACAACTATATATTAAATGTACGTATATTAGATTTTTTTTAATAAAATCATCACTTTTTTAAATCTACTATGTGCAATTTTTTATCTACCCTGTGTAACGCGGAATCCTGTATATGCCGGAAAATCGGTGCACGACCGTGCGATTCCGTTTTACACAGGTTTCACTGTATCTTAAATATTTTTAATGACCGTCTAATTTTATAAAGGTAAGTTTCGTACCGATATTTTGTTGAAAATATATATTTAGTACAAGAATTTCTTTATTAAAATGTCAAATCTGAAACATAACCTCAAGAAGAACGTTTAGAATACATCAAGAAGTTTAGTTCAACCACCGAAAGAAGTTAACGAGATTTCACTTTACCTTTGAAAATTTAACAAGAAGGCCTCTACAGTCACTCCTCAATTACACAGATAAGTTATAATAAATCATTTAATTTTGAATAATTAAGTCTCTGTGAATTAGAATTTGTCGCTACCTTATTTAATTATAATATCATAAAGGTTAGTGATTTTCTATATTTTCATCATTAATCGCTTGTCAAGTTTAGAAAGTTTAAATATAGTGGCGTCCAACATTCTTTTTCAAAGTGATACGAGTTGTTTAATAACCTGACCCACTCCCCAAAATCATAGAGCTTAAAACACTATAAAAATAGATAAAATAATAAGATCATATTACAAAACAGCGTTTAAAATCGTTCAACTTTACTATTTACCATGTTGTTTCTAAACAGGATGACTGCTACATGTGGAGTGAAGTTGGAGATAAACGTGGGAGTTGTGAAATTGCTAGTTGCCTTTATAGTTCTTTCAAATCATTACCTGAAAATATTAAACACATTATTTGCTACAGTGATAAATGTAGAGGACAAAATCTCAACAAATATGTGGCAGCTATGTGTTTAACTGCGATTCAGGAAATTCCACACTTGCAAACCATTGAACTAAAATTTCTTGTCGTTGGTCATAGTGAGATGGAATGCGATTCAATGCATTCTGCTAAATCTACGGAACTAAAAAGAGTTGGGAAAGTAAACTGGCCTGAAGATTGGAAAACTATAGCACGCTCTGCAAGAAGAAGTGATAAACCCTATTTGGTTCACGATGTTAAACATAATCAAATTCTTGACTGGAAAACTTATGCAGACCAAAAATTAATATTTAGAAAAGAAGATGAAAGCTTGGTTAGTTGGCAGAAAATATAATGGTTGAAATTTTCAGTTTAGACGACTAAATTGTAAACGTTAAACACGTATGTCGTCTTCAAACATTACCCAAGAGCCTTTGTATCAAAGTCAACTAACTACCACTTAAAAAAAAATATGACGGCCTTATGTCTTTGTTCAAAATGAATCCTCCAGCCCTCCCTAGCGAGAATAAAGCATTTTTGAAAGTCTTCCATTCCAAGGAGACCAACATAAACGGCCTCAAAACATGGAAGATTCCCAAACCGACATCATTGATATTGACACTTAAGTTGTGTCAAGGGTGGAATCTTTTGGGTTTTATTTAATTTAATCTTGTTAATTTTTTATTCCAAAGTTGTATTTAGTAGGTGATTTGCGTTTAATTGTTAGTGGTTAATTGTTTCCAAAATTAACAAATCATAATTTGATATGCAACATATCTATATAGATATTAAATATTTTTGATTACTTAACTGGTGTATTTTTTGCGTTTTGAATCTTTAAAGTGGATTTTCTCAAAACTATAAATCTCAAGTTATCTAGTTGTTGCACTAAGGGGACGATATTTTTTCTGTAAATGTCAACAATGATGTTGCAAATTTATATGACATAAATCAAGACTTGCGTGTTTTCTCATTTGCATAACATGCTGATATATACAGTGAGGACTAAATTGTACCCCCTCTTAACTAAATGGAAGAAGATAGAGACCTGAAATAAAAACGAGGTGAAATTAGAGACATATATTTTTATTATAACGAGATGCACTTTACTTGAGGCCTAAAATTCTTTATCTTTAAATTTTCTAATGGATATCATGTGATACTTCATTTGAAAGATATTTTCGATATCTTTACGTCCTTGCAAAAAGTTTTAAATTTTTTGTTTTTACAGAAATTACATTACATAAATTAACACTCGTACTTACTATTGTAAATACCCTAACCTAAAAACTGTGCACATGCTTGTTATTTGGGTCTATAAAATTTCGTGTTTTCGAGAGTTTAGAATTTTATAAATTACTCAAAAACGGCTGGATAATATAATTGAAGTGTACCGTTTATCCTGATCTGATTTTTTCGCGAGGAACCATCATTCTGCTCAAGTTTTCACGAGTGTAAATACATTGAGGTTAAGATGCCAAAAATTCAAAAATGTGAGAAATGCACTCTCAATATTGTCGATGATGGAAAGGCGCCCCGTTGCGATAGCTGTGGTCTTTTTTCATTTGGATGAAAAGTGCTCCGGATTGTGTGCCAGTGAGCAGCGTTCAATTGTTGTTCAAAAACGCTCAACGATCTTTTTCTGTGAAGACTGCAAAACTTCCTTCAAGAAAATTCCTCTATTGATAAATAAATTAGCTGCTCTAGAGAGCAAAGTTAATTCCTTGGAGGACAAGGTTACCAGCATTGAGGAGAAAATTCAAACTTTAAAAGTGAGGGCTCTAGTTCGCTAAACTCTGACTCAGTATCTTACGAAATTCATGATCGCATTACTCGAGCAAGCAACTTGATGGTCTACAATGTTAAAGAATCATCTAGTACTAAATTGCAAGAACGGATAGATAATGATATAGCTAGTTTGGTACCTGTTTTTACTAAATTGGGCTTGAATTCTAGTGACGTGGTCAAAGTTTTACAGGTTGCCAAGATAGCCCAGGGCAGATCCAGATCTATTAAAGTTATTACCATAAATTCATTTACTGTAAAGAATTCAATGAGGTCTAAAAACAAGCTTACTGATGGAATTAAAATTAGGTACGATAAAACTAAACTCGAGCAAGATCAGTTAAAAGAGATTATGTCTAACTTAAAGAAAGAAAAGATAATGGTGAACTTGACTTATCAATTAAATATGTGCGGGGTGTGCCAATTATTGCACAAAACGCTCAATCAAAAAAACTACGAGTTAGCTTTAGCTCTAAGTTTTTTGTGATATTTAAGTTTTTTCTTTTTTGTGTGATACTTTAGGTTAGGTTTAAAATATCTACTGATAATAATTATTTTGTAAAAGGAGACTTTTCGTAAATAAATAAAATAAAATAATATTTTTTTTTGTTTTTAAGGAAATGCTTTTTATGAATTAAAGAAACTTTAAAATATTATTTATGCCCTTATTTAACACATCACCTTTGATATTCTTAATTCATTTTAGAAAAATTTTGTTTTTTTTTTATTCGTAAATAGCGTTTTCTTAGTAATAAAAATAATAGAAAATATGAGGGTTATCAAGAATTTAAATTACTTTAATTTTATTTCTGTAGCAACATACAAAAACCTAAAACCGTTTGCATTGACGTAAAGATAATGAAAATATCTTTCAAATGAGGTAACACATACTACTTTCTAATAGAAAATTTAAAGATAGTAACGCCACCCAGCTTTCGTCTCAAGTAAAGTGCATCTCGTTATAATAAAAATATGATAATATCTCTAATTTCACCTCCTTTTTGTTTCATGTTTCTAGATTTTTTCATTTAGCATAAGAAATGTGGGAAGCACAATTTACATATTATATAAATATATTATTACCAGCTGCGTTTTTAATTCCAAATTGTTACGAATTTCTTTATCCAAAGCTTCAATTTCTTCGCAAGATTTAAGTGGAAAATTGAAGTCCTTTAGCAGGTCTTTTTCACTTACTGGTGGATCAAGAGCTTTAGGTATTTCACTTACTGGCGGATCAAGAGCTTTAGGTATGAAATTTATATCAGATAAAGTTTTATGAATTTTGTCCAAATTTAGGTTGATCTTGTTATAGTCTTTCTTTATTTCTTCTTTCATGGTACTTAATTCTTCTTTTATAGTACTTATTTCGTATTTTACACATATTATTTCTTCTCTTAATAGTTGTATTTCATTTCCAACATTAATTATTACTGGCTCTGGTGGTAGCTGTCGTGACATTGATGGGCCTGGAAAAAAATGTTTTTAAATACACAAATTATCTTTAGAGTTGTGGAAAAAATCCGGATAACATCCGTTCGACATGCAGGCAGACAGGCCAGTTTTAAATATGGTTTATGTTTTAATTTTTTTCGGTAGCTGATGTAGCTATGTTCATAAATAAATGGGTTAAAAATGACAGGCAAAATGTCACTCTCACAAGAATTACATAAAAAACTGTCAGTATAGTTTGTCGTTTTGTACTACAGTTTAATGAACACAACTGTACATATTATAATATACGCTCATCACCAAAAAATACTGAGACATTTAACGTTATTCAATAAACTGAAAATAACAAAAATAAAGAGGTAAAATATTTACCTACCTTATAGTAAAAAAAAATCATTCATTCGTCTACAACCAATATTATCTTTTGATTTTTACTTATATAATCGAAGAATATTTAAATTTTAAAATAAAGATCACTATCAATGTGACGTCTAATATAATATTGACACATATAAATTTGTCGGTGCCACATACAGTACTTAATGAAAATTAAGACTTAATAATTCACATTGCATTTTTTGAGATAACCTTAAATGTCCCAGTTTTTTTAATTGTACTTTATTGTGGTTACTGTACTTACATTCTTGAAGGGTATCAATCATCTGCATCATGCCATCATTTTCCACAAGTATTGTCTTATAATCAGGAACATTGGATACATTGTTAGTCAAAAACATTTCAATATTGGTCATAAATGGTGACTGCTTTATGACTTGCTGTGAAACGATATTAATTTTGTTATGGTATGTTGTAGCAGGGGGCTGATTTTCCAAATTATCAAACAGATCGTTTCTATCAGTCAGTTGGCTATCAGCTTTTTTGCTTGTCGCTGCACGTTTTTTATTTTTCTTAGTAGAAATAGCCTATAAAAATGTGAAATGAGAAGAAAGATAGCTAACAAAAATAATAACTTACGTTTCCTCTGCATCAGTGTCAATGCATTTCTGTTAATTGTTTTTCAAGTTTAAGGGCATCTTTAAAGTTTTCTAATTCTATAAATTTTAAAATGCACTCCATCTGCGACCAACTCACTTCGGAGGAACTTATTAGATTTCGCCTCAACGTTTCTTGTTGTGAAAAATTAAAATGACCTGGACAAAATAAGGTTTCTTCGTTTTCCCACATGTCGGGAACAACACAGAAACAAACACCCCTCTTTTCTTGAGTCCATACAATTTTAAAACTCATATCTACATCTAAGGTGTGCACACACAAACACAATATAAAACATTAAATGCATAAATTTAAGTGATCTAGGATGATGGATGACGTATTTGTAATTTAATGTAAATTTGATTTTCCCCCCTGACATTGGCCTTATTGAATAACTCAAAATCTCTAAAATAAGTGGAGAAATGGCAACAATGTAAATAATTACCTTTATAGTGGCAAATACTAGGTGGCTGCCACGTAACCGCCACTTTGAAGTGGTGAAAAATATTTTGGATTAGTTCCAGCTGCCACTTATTTGATGAAAGTAACTACAAAGTGGCATATATTTAGTTTCTGCAACTTTAAAGTTTTTTCCTGAAGCAGACATATTTGTAACCATTTTTAAGATTGCCATTATGAGAAAATATAAGTGCTATTTAATTTTTTTTTGTCCGTATAGCTTCAATGCAATAAAATTCAAATATATTTAATGATTGTAATCAACCAAGTTTGATAAAAAATACTGTTTAAGAAATAAATAATTTCGAAGATGAAAAATTTACAGATTTGACCTTTTTAATTAAATATAAAGTATTCCAATGGCGCGTGCCCATATTTCGAGCTACAACACCTATATTTGACAGTAAACTTGCAATCGTTCCAACTTTTTGCCTAACAGAATTCCTGAATCAATATTTTTATGACACCTTATCATTATTATTCAGTATGTACCTACTTATTAGTTTACTAGTTATGTCAAGTTAGAGAATAAGCAAGGAGAATGGGAGAAACAATTTGCAGGACGGTGACCGAGCTACAAATATCAATCAAAAGACAAGGGCAGTAAGCAAAGTTCAGCGTTTAGGGTCGGCCACCGTGTCGCCACGTTTTCGTCACGTTATCGCCACGTTTTCGCCACGTGGTGTAAATGTGATTATGTAAGTTCGGGAAACGTGGCTAAAACGTGGTTGCCACCAAGAAAGTGTTCCCCATTTTGGTTACCGCCACGTGGTAAAACCATGTCTATTACGTGGCAGAAACTTTAGCAATACACTTTAAAGTTTCTAAAGTCGTGGTAGCCGCGTTCCGCCCACGAAAAATACTACTTGGAACGTTTCCTTGTCCATTAACTAAACGGTTTTATTTAATTTTAGGCCATTTTACTTTCTCGAGATGGTGGAAGCCATGATAGATACATAAAAACGACAATAATATAGGTACAATAGGTACATATAAATATTCTTTTTGGTTAGAGTGTCACCATATTATCATCTTCAAATATAAATTACTTTTATTTGCTAAAAGAATTATGTATATAGTTTTAAAAAACTATTTTCATATGTTAACAATAAGATAAATTATCTTTAAAAATATACATGTAACTAACATTATCAAGTCCACTTCAAAACCACATATGTTTAAATTGTAGTTAAAGTGGTTTTAAAAGGGTCTTCACAGCAGCTTTAAAATCAATTGTTCGAGGTAATATAGTTTTAAGGTGGTTTTTATTTTTGGTTTTATTGACCTTTTTTAGAGTGGGCCCTTTTATGCTGAAGGCGTATTTATTACAACCTTAAGGTTCCTTTTAAAACTAATTGGTTTTAATTGCAGTTTTATTTTAAAGTGTTAAAGCATCCTTGAAGTACTGAATAAAACCGTTCGGTGCTACTTGAGTTGTTACCGTCACTTAAATCCCTAATAAAAGATTGTGTAGGCTCTACCTGATTTGTTATTTGCAAATTGAATTGTACTGAATGGTCTGATAGGAAACTTTTTGCACAATAACATTTTTATATTAAATATTTGTAAAAAGTGGATTGACTAAAGTTGAGCTAATACTAGTGACCCGTGTTGGTTTCGTAACAATGTTGTACACAGGGTTACCAGGTTTTTGAAAGAGATGACGGACAGACAGGGAATTTTAGGGGAAATAGGGGGAAGTAAAAACTACTGTCTATTTTCATTTTTTTAATCAAAATTACTTATTTTGTAAAAAAAATCCGTACCTATTTTTGGTAAAGATAGACTGAGGTGTTTCAAATAATAAGGTGAAAATGTTTTCTGAGTTTGGCTTTCGATTTGCGATTTCTCGATTTTCTAACTTTACATTTTCACCTTATTATTTGTAAAATCACCTCAGTGTATCTTTACCAAAATTAGGTAAGGATTTCTTGTAAAATAAGTAATTTTGATTAAAAGAGTAAAAATAGACCGAGTTGTTTTTACTTCCCCCTATTTCCCCTAAAATCCCCTGTCTGTCCGTCATCTCTTTCAAAAACCTGGTAACCCTGGTTGTACAGGTCAAATTCACTAAAAATATTCATAAGTAGTTTCGTTTCATTACTTTTAATAAGTAAGTTTACATTCATATCACCACATACAGCATAATATCTAGAGGGTCTATAATGAAAACACAAAAAGTCATAAAACCTATCGGTAAAGAATTTAAAATGTGATTTGATGTGATGTGATATGACAAAACATGTCCTTATTTTTTAAGATAAATTTACAAACATTTATTACAATTTCTTTCTCAATAGTAAAATTGCAGCATTCAGGTACTTTTTGCATACATAGAGACTCCACCCCTTTGGTATTGTGTCCTGCAATACTTAGTTATTAAAGAATAATCACAATGCTGTAACATATTGATTTGAAAAACAACATATATCTACTTTATTCTTTTTTAAAATATGGTTAGGCTCACTAATTTTTTTCTGTATGCCCTATAGGTACTTATATTGAAATGCATCAGTGTAAAGTTTTTGTTACCATTATGTTCTTCATTAGTTCTGATTTCTTCAGTCATTGTTTTTGTTGTCATATTCTTCTGTTAGAATTATGTCAGGTCTTGCATTTGATTGACATCCAGAAAATTTTCATCTAGTAGGTCTGCTTCCTTGTTGTTTTTATATCTATTTTCTTATTTTCTAAAGTCGTACTGGTAGACTGCCATCCCACGTGGCCAGAAACCTCCAATGTACGCCTGATCATAGGATCATATTGCATTCTGATCTTAAAGCATTTGTTGTTAGCAGTTTTTTTATATGTTCGTACTTCCTTCACAGATAACAAGTCTTTTCTGTCACACTTTTTTTCTAAATGTGTTATGACCATATTTTCTGTGACCTGATCTTTAACCATGCTAATAAAAAGCCACAAACGTTTTTCTTTATCTCTTGCTAGTGGATGGTTATTCATTAATTATTCAAAACGTTTACCAAGACATTTACTTTTCTGTTTTATTATTTTCTTATGATAAGATAGGTCAGAGACCACAAAAACTCCATTTTAATGGATTCAGAGAAAAAAGATCTATCAGAAAACAATATATAAATACAGGGTGATTCATTTAAAATTCCATCCATTGATGTCATATTTTGATATACCTATATTAATTAATTAAATAGTGCATAAAATATAAGAAAAAATGTATTCAAGTCAATGTTCAGTACAATACATTATTGATCCACAATTCAGGTGTTCCACCAATTTTGTCAAGCCCTATATTATCTTAAATTCTATTGTAATATTTTTATCTTATAATTTAAATATTCCAAGAGCAGATTGTACAGTAGACAGTTAAAAATGTAATTTTAGTTTAAACTGAGAACCTCGTATAATCATCTCTCATTGTTAAACATAGTTTTAAGAATGACATTTGTGTTTTGAACATAACCAGTTAAAAATTAAACTCCTGTTGGCTAAACTAAGTTTACAGCATTCTTTGTAGAACCTGACCTAATAGATATAAAATTAGTATTTTTATGAGATACACAGGACTCCCTTCTGATTTTTTCACCCTTATAAAATTAGTTCATTGGGCCAAGAAGGTTAAGCAAGGATATAAGAAAAACAAGTTTTTTTACAAAATAAATTGTTTTTTTTTTTGAAGGAGAAATTAATACGGCTAATATATTAGATCAGTAAATTACTAAATAAATCACTAAAATTTCTTTCAACTCATTATGTGAATTCTAACAGCGCCTAACATATTTGTATTCATCGATGTAGTGCTTTAATAATAATATTTGTGAAAAACTAATAAACTGTTTCATATTATTGTGAAAAGTTGTACAAAACTGACTTATCTGCTTATTCATATGGCACAGATGAGCAGTCAAGTTGCAAAGTGCATTAAAACCTGATCATTCAATTTTACAATCCTGTCCAAACAAATCTGGCGATTAATTTTTCCTGCAAACATCTATAAAAACTGTGCAGTATAGTGTTATGTTATTTAAATTAACAAGTATGTCGCCCTAGTGTTGATAGAAAAATATCTTAAATCAAATGTCCAAATAACAACATTCTCAAATCATAAAAAAAGTTCCATGATAATTAAAAAAGCATTTGCTTTTCTCTTTTTTGTCAAAAGATAAACAAAATTTTGACAAGGAGAAGTACAGCCTTAAAGACACTACAGCACCAACTTTGGACCAAAATACTTCCCAAAACAAAAAATGGGAGATTACAACTAGAAATCATTGTTCGGCCATATTTAAATACCTCTATTATAAATAAAGATTATTTTAATTATTACTAAATTTTTCTGCTTCAACTTTACTGTTTACATACTCAAAGTCGTTATAACAATAAAAAAGGGGCAGAATATAAAGAATATTTAAAAACTTCCAGATCAAAACAATTTGTTGCTTTTTTGTTGATAAATTCACATAATTTTTTACTTCAATCACTTATTTTGAAAACAATAAAGATCAGTATTAAATAATTGAGTTTTGAATGAAAAGGGAATGTTAAACATCTCAACACATTCAGTGCCCACATCCAGTTTACTGGAGTCAGTTTCTAATGACAGCTCATGTCCATTTAATTTGCCACCCCTTAAATATTTAATATATGTTCCTATAAACAGCAGTCTATGACGTTATATATCGTCAGTGTCGTTCTAATACCTCGTAACCCTCATTTTGACAAAAATGATATTTTTACGTCAAATTGTTGCGGTTACCCATATTTACCATTACAGAAAACCTTGTAGCCCACAAAATTTTCAAAACTTTAAAACTTTAACTTTTCTAATACCTCGTATAGTAATAGTAATAAATAAACAGAATGGTTTTTGGCTTCTCCTGTAAAATGTTACTTTTGGGCTTACGAGGTATTAGAACGACACTGGCGATATATCTTAGGTTTTGAAATGGGCCTTTGGCAAAGATTTGCCCTAAAAATGTTTTACTTGTCTCAAATTGTTGGTTTTTTTTTATAAAGTGTAAAACATTATGAATGAAGTTATCAATGCATTTTGCAATTTGACTACCAGAAAACAAAATTAATCACTTACCACTTGGTTCTTCAGTTTCAGTTGAACAGCCAGGCAATTCGTCCTTAATCTCCATTTCTTCTTTGCTGTCTATATCAGGTTCTTTGACTTCAAATTTCATAACATTGCTTTCTGTGATTTCTACCTTAACAGGTATTGGAATATCTAACATTTCTTTTGAATCTATATCATCTACAGATGTGTGTAAACCTATTGAAGGTGTTTCATTTATTTCCTCTTTAATTTTGGCAATGTCTATGTTATAGTCTATTAAAGCGTAATTTTCTTGAAGTTCATCTTCAGGATCTTCCTTTTTTATTTCTAAGCATTCCATCTTTGAAATTTATATAGTTTGTGTTAATTCCTGAAATTTATTACCTATTTCTTAAATCTGAATGGGTAAATAACTTTATTTTGTTTTGTGAAAATCCAAATGGCAAAGACAGCCATGATAGTTCAAGAAAACAAAGAGCTCTTGTTTAATTATATTCAATTTTATGAACTAAACTCATCTATTAACGTTTATATTTAAATAAAGAACATGAAACGACATTGTATGCAATTTTAAAACCTTTATTGAATGCAAGTGGTAGGTAAATAAACGATTCTTACCTTCAGATTAGATTGGCTTTCAAACTAACGAAATATAAAAACACGACAGTGTTCTAATTAAAATTAACAAAAAGAAATAGGTATATAGGTAATGGTATAAACTTTTAAACTTATTTATAAAAACAATTTATATAAAAAAAAGAACCATAAACACCGCTAACAAACTACCGATGGTGTCAAGTGTCAAATGTAAAGTCAACATCAAACGTCAACGTCAAAACGTTAAATTTCAATAATAGTTAATAGAGTGCGCTACCATACGCCATAACCAATGAAGTGAAACAACATAGATCGTACATAATACTTTCGAATTAGAAGAATAATGCTCCTTAGGACCAAAGATATCGGATAATAGATACGCCTCGTGTACATTACACTTGTCCGCAACTTTTTTTTGACGGTACGCTCTTCCTATGTTGTCAGATCTCTTTCATCAAATATCAAACATTAAATATTTATTAAAAAGTTACTATTACCTTTAATACAATCTAGTAAAAAAAGGAAATAAAGAATTGAAAGCATCAATATGAGTTTTTATTAATTAAAATCACTTAAGACTTTTACTTAGCTATTTTTACATGTGTATCATATGGGAATATTAAACATTCTGGTATAAATCCTATAAGTTTAGCAACCTAAGACATTTTGCTGTTGTTGTCAAAGTGACAGATCAAGTTTTATTCTGATTTTTTGTGGTTTTCAAGAATAATTTAAACCCTGAACTTTTTAATAAGGACTTTGACGATGGAGAGGAAATGTATAGTGTGCTGAAATATGCAGAATAAGAATGTTATTCGGTCATTTTACAAGTAAGATTATGTTAGCATAAACGTAGGTATATACAATGAATAAGGCTTAATTTATTTAACAGTGTACAGGCATCTAGCACTAGCATTGTTTATTTAAATAATAATGTTCTATATTTTCTGATCAGGTTTCCTAGAGAAATTATTCAACGTGTAGAATTTGGCTGCAAAATCTATGCTTGGTGGAGGAAGACATTATGAAAATGAAAGAAGCCTTAGTATGTTCTGGCCATTTTTGTATGGCAGATATTTATGAAAATTTAAGTAGTAGACACACCTTAAAACATAATGCTATACCTATCAAGTAAGTACAGTATTTATTATAAGTATTTTTATAATATGTAAGCTCTAAAATTATACAGAAATCATTACATTTTACAGAATTTTTGGAGAGGGAGTTGAACAATCCCACATGCAGATTGTTTCAAAATTGGTATAAAATTTAATATAATGAAGTAAAGTCAAATAAAACTGCTAATGTAATTGCACCAGCATCTTGGATTGTTGCAGCACTAGTTGCAAAATTTGGTTAAATTTAAAATGTTACGAATCAGACACTGAAGAAAATTTGGAATTTATCTATATATTTTCTGAGCGATTACATTCAGGATGTAGTTGCTTATATTTCTGGTTTTATAGTAAAATCCTTAAAGAAAAGTGTTCTGCAATTTTAAAAGGAGTTTACAGTTTATCAAAACTGCAAAATCAAAAAACTTACGGAAAATTACAAAAAGCTTCTATATTTGTAGTGAAGCTGAAAAATGTATAAAAACAGTTTCAATGAACATACACAGTAATAATATTATTAACATTGCCAATATAAAATGTAAATTAGTAAATAGTTCTATGAGATATTTTCCTTCAAATATTTTTGATGTTGTTTCCAACCATATTTTTGATTTTGAACCACTTAATGACCATTGCATTACTGTCACGAAGCTCATTTTAGATAAATATATAGACATTCGACTTCATCATGAATTTAATAAATTAAAAACTGTTAATAAAGCTAGAGTGAGAAATTAACTTACAAAAAGCATTTTATTTCAGAATCAGTAATTTTTACTTTTAAATATTTGTTTTTGTAATTTTTTGTCTATTTTTAAGTAACTGTTTCCATAACATGCTCTTATTCTTTATGTAAAATAGTTTAATATAAGTCCATCTACTAACTGTATATTGTGTCTAGACGATACTATAATTTTATCATTGAAGACATAATAGTTTATAGTAACGGCATTGAACAAAAGTAAAGAGATAGTCAAAAGATTCACAGGTTATTGTTCGGATAATGGCCTAGTTATGTCCCTCAAAAACATTTTTTCCAGGATAACTATCCAAAGTAGGCTTTTGCACTTTCAAATCTAATTAAAAAGTTGACGTTTTTCGCAAATGGACTCATCCAGTGATTTTTAAAAATATTTTTATCATATAATCTTGGCCCGCTATAACACAGTTGACCGGGTCCAACCTCTCTGCGACCTACCCTGTGGCTACAATTAAATGTTGAAATTTGAATTTCGGGGCTAAGGTGGATTGTGACGTGTACCAATAGAAACAGGCTTTATTTTGCAATGTTGCCATATCGATAAAACTAGCAATATTCCTTGTCATTTATTATGTTTAAAAGAAGGATAGAAGTACCGATGGACGGTTCCGTTTACACCGAGTACGGAGTACAAAGACGAACGGTCTTTTCCTTTATCCATGCCAAAAATATTCACAGCGCAAAAAAAGAGAAGAAAAACTAGAAAAAGAAGAATATAAAATATAACCTTACATTTCAATCATTTAGTATTTCATTGTGAATACTTATTGTATTATCAGTGGTTGCCTCTAATTCTATTGTATTTATTTTTGGAAAAGTGTTAAAGTGTATTTAAAAAGAAAATGAATCCAGGTTTTGTGAAAGCAGATTCCAGAAATTTACCACAAGTAGATGTGGAGATGGTGATGCAATTTTATTCATCGAATACTGAACACTATAGTGCCGAGATGAAAAATATTAAAACTGAGAGGTAACTAAACTACTCTACTGGTAAAAATAAAGATTTTTACGAATAACGGAATATTTTGAAACATTTTTTCTAACTAATTTTACGATAAAACTACTTATTATCATTACTATTTTAAATTTGGCTTTCATATTTGTTAACTAATAAAATATGTACATTTTAGAGCATCAAAAGAAAAGTATGGAGACAATGCAGTAAGTTATGTTCAGTTAAAAAGAGATGGCAACATATGTACCATTAGAGCCAAAATTACCCCTGAACACAAAATTCACAAGAAACCATATAATGTTGAAGTGAAAATTAATGAAGAGGATGAGAAAATTCTCAGTTCTGCATGTACTGACTGTGCAGCTTCCTCAGGTAATTATTAAAGTTAATTTACCTGGTATTTGGTAAGAGTAATAAATAACTGTTGTGTTAAACAAGATGAAACATTAAACTATAATATTTTGAATTTATGTATGTAAGTGATAGATATACTTCTACTTATTCAACGAAGACTGTAGTAAGTCAATTGAGAAAGTCAGTGTTTAATATTCATTTATTTAATTTTTGCTTTCTATGCTCCACCTAAACATTTTCGATCTAATAAATTAATAAAAAAACCAAAAAAGATTGACATCTGTGTGCACGTAGTTTAGATTCAAAAGGAAAGACTTGTATTTCATGCAAAACTTTTTAATTAATAAATGCAAAGCGCTTTCGGCATTGTGCCATCATTAGTGCTTATTGTCCACAAACATATCCACCAAGTTCTTAGTCATCCTCGCTCCCAAAATTAAATGAAATGAAATGAAATAAAAATGAATGTATAAAACAATTTAAATTTGAAAATATTGCTAATAGTAATAATTATGATTTAGCAATTTGTGAATATCCAGAAATATCTAATTTTGGGAGCGAGGATGACTAAGAACTTGGTGGATATGTTTGTGGACAATAAGCACTGATCATGGCACAATGCCAAAAGTGCTTTGCATTTATTAATTAAAAAGTTTTGCACCAAATACAAGTCTTTCCTTTTGAATAATAAATTAATATTTGACACTGATTTTCTCAATTTGAGCAAAATTGACTTTTATATTTAAAAATGAAATGCTTAATATTTTAGTTTTATTTTAATATAATTTTTAGGTGGGTGCAAACATTCAGTGGCATTTTTGTTTTGGCTCCATCGTCGTAGTGAAGAACCTAGTGTCACCTCAGTTGAATGCTATTGGAAAGCATCGAAATTATCCAAAGTAGGAACAGTTGAAAAGTTTCTATCTGCAAAGGATATGGCTAATGCAAAACCACTTTTAAAAGAAAAAAATTCAGAAGTTAGGGAACGCTTTATAAAATATATAGACAAAGCTTCAGGTGGAATTTTTGATTTTTATTATGAGTCTGAATTGTCAAAATTCAACATACATCATTTAATTATGAAGTATAAGAGTGAGCAAACTACATATTCAGCAGAAGATTTTTTTCAATTTGCCAGTGCTAATATGGGAGCTAATTGTGCAGTTGTCGAAGAACAGACAAAAGAACAGTCAAATTGTCCCAATTGGTACCATTTACGCTTTGGTCGAATAACTGCATCCAAAATTTATGAAGCTGCTAAATGTAAAACAAGAGAAGGAAGTCTTCTGGAAAATATAATGGGTGCAACAAAGGCTTTTGAAACCTATGCTGTTTCAAGAGGGAAACGATTGGAACCCTTAGTTTTAAAACAAGTTGAAATAGCAAAAAAAATTAATATTAAAAAAGTAGGCTTGCTTTTGTCCAATCGGTATCCGGTTTTAGGAGCATCCCCAGATGGCATAACTGAAGAATTTTGTGTGGAAGTGAAATGCCCAAGCAAAGAAAAAACTGTGGAAAACTACATAAAAAATAATGAAATAGTAAAAAAATATTATTATCAATTGCAAATGCAATGTTTTTTTTCTAATAAAGATAAAGGTCTCTTTTGTGTAGCTTCTCCAGATTTTGAAAATGACAAAGTTGTAAATATATTTGAAATCTCATTAAATAAGGAAGAAATTGAAAATATAATAGACTTGGCTTTAACTTATTGGAGAGATAATGTTTTTAATTGTTTAATTAATTTATAATTTGTAATATTGAAGGTCAATAAAATATATAGGATATTTCGTACCTACACCGCCAAACTTTAAGATGTGGCAGAGAACATCAATTTGTTTTTTTGCTTTATAAACATAAGGTTTAAAAAATCACTTTTTAATCAATATGTTAAGTACGTTTTAACAGATTTGCAGTTTGCTGATATCTTAGTTATGTATCTTTGGACCTATTAGCATGTATCTAAAATTTCCGTAAATCTATAATTTTTTTCTGAAAAAGAACATCCTGCAAACTTTTTAAA